GGGGAGGGCCGGCGGGGTGCCCGGTGGCCCCAAGGCGACCCCCCGCAGCACGGGGACTGGGCGGCCATTGAAGCCAAAGGCGGTGGCGGGCCGGAAGCAGCCCTTCTGCCTGCTGCTGCGGGAGACCGAGGCGGGATCTTCCTTCAGCGACTCCTCGGAGGACTCGTTCGATCAAGGTTACTAGCTTATAGCGAACGCAACCCCAAACGCACCCCTCCACCATGTCTGTGTGGGAGTGGGCAGGGCAGAGGGTGGGGGTGAGTGAGGGGCCTGGCGGGCCGGGGTCAGCCATTTTGATGGTCGGAGCCAGGGCGGCCATCTTTGTTCTTGGCAGCGTAGCCTGCTTTATCAGCCTGACATTTATTTTTTATCCTTTTTGTACCTGTATCATTGTGATATTATTACCAGCTGGCTCTTTTAGAGCTTTTATATCAACTAGGTTTTAGTGTCCACCTCTCCCTGCTTTCCTGTTCCCTTCCTCCCTTCAGTTTTTCCCTCACTTTCTTCCTTGCTACCACCACCACCATTATATTATTATTACTATTATTATTATTTTATTTCTTTTTTTTTTTTATTTTGGCATGGGCCTTGAAGAGGTATGGAAGGAACTTTTTTTAAAATTACTTTCCTTTTTTTTTTCTTTTTTCCTTTTTTTTAATACCGGGATACTGTTGTGTGGCCGTGTGACTTGATGTTTGTACTGCGATTTGGTATACCAAGTTTTATTAAACATATCGAGTTCATTTTTAACTAAACCTGTGTACCTTGTCTCTCTTGCTGTGTCTCTTATCAGGCGATTAGGTTGCCGCTTCACTTCATCCTGCTCTGCATCCCCCTCCTGCTCCCACTCCCCATGAGTAGAACTGGAATTAACCTAGTCTGGGGTACTCTCTATTATTCAAATATCCCTACTTCCTTTGTCCAGATAAAGCCTAGGCTTTTCCCTCCCACCCCCTTTCATTTCATTTTTATTTTGTTCACCCAGTTTTGTTTTTCAGTTTGTTTCCTGTGTTGATAGACTCTCTTGAGGCAGGCAGATAAAATGTGGAGGTGCTTGGACCTTGCTGCTGCTGCAGGAGGGTGCAATAAAGGTCCCCGTTATTTAACAACCAGAAAGAATTCTTTTTTCACTTTTTAAAATGTCTATGGCAAGTTTTTGCATCTCTTTTTGGGTGGTAATTTTTTTCAGATGCCCAGATGTAACCCATGGTGTTCAAGGATGTGGCAATTACTGCATTAAATTTGACACTGCAGTACCCCAATTTTTTTCTTGCAGCTTTTTTTTTGTCAGCCTGTCATTAGTACTTCAGTGGGAAAAGAGATTACTTGAGACTTTTCCTCCAGAGACACAAGGGGTTTCTGTTTTAGAGCGCACTCATTAAATAATAATCATGGGGAAAGGTCATTTTAATGAGCCCTCGGCTCCCAAAAGAAAGTAGCTCATCTGGGCTGAATGCTAAGCAAGAGCATCCCCAGTTGTTATCATTTAAGTTAACGGCAGATCTGGATGTAGCACAGCAAAAGCCTTTTAGTATTTCACACTGCTCAGACGGCTCGTAATTGAAAACAGGGCTGAATAGTTTTGCTTTTGTTTTTCTTAGGTTTTTTTTTTTATGTTAATCTCTTCCATGCACCTGTTTGTTTTTTCTTCCCTCCAAACCCAGCCTCCAAAGAAAGATAATTTAAAATAGAAAAAATGATCAAACGCAGCAGAAAGATACAGAATGCTGATTCGGTTTGATGTGGCCCTGGGCTGGACCCACCGGTGAATTTCAAAGAAAACCCAAAAGAGAAAAGTGCGTGTTTCAAAAAAAAAAAAAGGAGGAATTTGTTCTGTAGAGAACCCAACAAGTTCTAAGCATGGTGGATTTTATGTTAGGGTGAGATCGCCACATTTCCATG